AACAGCAGAAAATAATTCTTCCGACACCGGGTACCGAGCCTGGGCCTTCTGGGTGAGAGCAAGGTATCCTAGCCACGTTTTTTTTCTTCATTGACTTTTTGCAACATCTGAAAATTACATGGAATGAAAATGATATTTGCAGTGCTCTTGTTAGTAGTCAGTTGACCGTTGCGGGCTTGCTTTGGTAGAATTCTTTTATGCAGTGGTGCTCATCCAACAGAGCTGCTCACACGGTTTTCTGGTGTTTAACATTGACGGCATTTCGCAAAAAAAATGCTCTCGACGAAGCGCTTTCTAGCTGAGCGTATGACAATGAGTGCATCTGAAAAAAGAAAGCTTTTACCACGGACCACCCCGGCATGCGCTTCACACGCTTCAACGCATCTGCGCCCGCTGTTACTGTAAACATCACTCTTTACAAAGGTACACGCATACAAACGGCAACTGCAACAAAGCCACTTTTCATGAAAATGCATCATAAGCATTTAGTATTGTTTTCGTGACATGCATATTTGTAACAATGAACCATTGCGTTTTCTTATGCCACACGTCTGGTGTGATCCTTCCAGTTAATTGTTGTATCACATTTTGTAGCCTGCGTGCAAGAACCTTTGTGTATATCTTGTAACCTGTATCTGTGAGACACATCGAGTGATGTTCCCGCACCGACAATAGTGTATGGGTGTCTTCATCGAAAAAAAAGCAAAAGTATACGAGAAAAAAAGACCGCACGACAGAGTGCTCTGTCCTATGGTCTTTCTCTTCTCTCGTATACCCGCGCTGTTTTTTTTACAATGAATTCATGCCTTAAGCTCATGTTATACCCCTTTATAAGGTCGTTATCTACAAAGACTGTGTGACTTTTTCTCAAGGAAGAGGATAACACGGACTTCTCGTATGCCTTCATTCAATTAAATGATATGTGGAGTTTAATGTCCCAAAACCACCATATGATTATGAGAGACGTCGTAGTGGAGGGATCCGGAAATTTCGGCCACCTGGGGTTCTTTAACGTGCACCCAGATCTGAGCACACGGGCCCACAACATTTCCGCCTCCATCGGAAATGCAGCCGCCGCAGCCGGGATTCTAACCCGCGACCTGCGGGTCAGCAGCCGAGAACCTTAGCCACTCGACCACCGCGGTGGGGTAACATACAAGCCGATTATCTACTTGAAATACCGCTTTCATCCGTGTAGACACTTTCTTTGAGAAGCCTAGAGCTTTTTTTTGGGGCGGGGGGAAGAACTGAATCACGCCGGAGAATGATTAGGAATAACGCAACTTTCCTTTCTATTCTTACAGCAGTGTAAAAATAGTATTGTGTGTGCAAATAAAGAGATACAAAGCAGTAAAAACACTTCCCACACCGAGAATCAGACCCGAGCCTCCTGGCTGAGAGCCAGGTAATCTGCCACTAGACCATGCCCGAGTTTTCTTGCAAATTGATCTATCACCTGTCCTAACAATGTACAAAGTAGTATTAACAACGTGTACACTCACATAATCATGCTGACTCTCATAACACCCGTTCAAATGGGACTGATGGTATTGTTTGTTCATCTTTGCGATTGTATTTGTTGTGTGACTAGACCATGCCGGAGAATGATTGGGCCTAACGCACTCCCTAATTCCACCAGCTGCGTATGTAGCCAACGTAGTAAGCTAGCCACATTGCACACAATCGCTGATGGCACATAAAAACGTTCATCTACTTCGTAAGCTAAGTGCAATATAAGCAACTACTCAGTGACTCAGTGACTGCATGCCTCGCATGAATGCAATTCCTGCAATGCATGCGATCTATCGGTAGTTAGCCAATGCGCTTTCAAGGAGAATCCAACAGAACATTGTGACAGAACACAACATCCACAGACACACCAAAAGTTGTTACAAAAAGATAGAGGCGAAGCTCCTTATAGCGGCACTCGTTCGTCCCTCGTAACCGTTGTAGTATGTAACAAGTATTTATACATTTTGACTTCCAAGGTGGTGCCGGTGAGAGATTTCTTCTGTGCGTTGTTGAACAATAAAAAATAGTGCTCAATGTAGATGCCAATGGCTGCTAATGGGTAATGAGACAGGAGCATACGGCTTTTAGTTAACGCGCACGCTGCGATACCCATTAGCAGCCATTGGCATGTACATTGAGCACTATCTGACAAGAAAGGGTTGCTACGTTATACTCGCTGGGTGTAACCTCCTTAGTTTTAGAAAGGTTTAGCGAGCGTTCAGCCGCAGTGCCATGAATACAATAGATACCATGAATGAACTCGAGGTGGTTAAAGGTGGGAAGTAGACCCGAAGCGCAAGCCGTAAGAAAGTAAAAGTCGAATTCTCCTGTCTCTCATTTGCCATTAGCAGCCATTGACATGTACATTGAGCACTATCTGACAGGAAGAGGTTGCTACGTTATACTCGCTAAGCGTAATCTCCTTGGTTTTAGAAAGGTTTAGCGAGTGTTGGGCCACAGTGCCATGAATACAGTGAACTAGTATATACCATGAACTCGAGGTGGTTAAAGGTGGGAAGTAGACCCGAAGCGCAAGCCGTAAGAAAGTGTGCTTGTGCCACCTCTCATTTAGTCCTTGGAATATCCGCTGGATGGCGGTGCTTCCATATGGGAAATATATGATGAAAAGATGCGAGGTGGTGGTACTTGGAGTGTTGAATAGATGGACGAACGGACACACAGACAGATGCATGGATGGACGCATGAACGGAGGCAGGGGCGGATGCATGGACGAACGCAGAGACGAACGCAAGAACAGACGCACACATGGACGGGTGGATGGACGCATAGACGGTCACACAGACGGACGCATGCACGAACGGAAGCAAGAAGGAATGAACGGACGAATGCTTCGCCCCACTCTCCATCATTCACTCCGCGGATATGCTGCCAACTTTTATTGGTCCAGTTTCCCTTCGCCTATCCAAATTGTGTTGGAAGAAAAGAGGTGTAAAAATCAGTCTGTGATCTTGCTTTTCCTGCGCCGATGTACCGAACCATACACAGCGGATGCTAGGACATTATGTACTGAAGCGCATCAAAAACATGCTGGTTCTGACGTGTGTAAAAACTTATTTCGAGCTACACACTGGGACGTTGTCATAAAGAAGTTACATGGAAGGAAAGGGTTCCTTTGTACTATGATGTTCAGACTGCCTGATCTTTAGCACACCGGAAACCATAGAACACGTTTTCCTGCACTACTGGAAAGGGGCACACTTGTGAGAAATCCTAAAACGAAAAATAAAATGTAATTGCGAAAGGGATCTCAATTCATAATGCTGAACGGCCTGCACTGTATATGATGGGCTGGGATGGCTATCTATTTTGTTACCTGGAAGCTAAGACAGCGACTACTTACTTACGGCAAAGTATGTAGGACTTCATTGAAAATATGATTGTGGAGGTGTGTGTACCCGAATGGCTCCAAAGAATAGAGCCTCTGAGAGCCTTGAAATAATGTTATGCCGAGATGAGTCAAGGCGAGACTGATCGCTTTTTTGTGGGTTGTCAAATAATTTGTGTTCCTTTTCTTGTGCCAAGTTATGCTTTATATTGTCTAAGACTGTCATTAAATTAAAACAATTACAGGCGTGGTTCAATACTAGAATAGTTGACTTCAGCGTAGAATAAGTGAGGTCGGTTTTGGGAAGAATTAGTCGTCGTTTTTGTGCTGTAGAGGTGACGGACCGGCGCGCAACAGTGGTTGTAACGTGGCCTCTGTAAAATGAATAATGAACAAGCGGCTTGCTCCGTAAAGCGGCAGCTCAATCGTGGTGAGAAGTATGAGTGTGTCTTATCGCGACACTGTTATCTGATGAGCGCGTAGTAATTTTTGCAGCCCTTCAATGCGGCGTCTGTCATAATTATATTATGGTTGTGGGATATAAACCCAAGTTATTACTATTACACAATTAGCTGCTAGAGCCGAAAGTCACACGCGTGACCGGATAAGTGTGGTTTGCCGAAACGTAGAACGCTTTCCCTCCGGAAGCTGCGTAACATGTTTTCCTACTAATACAACTAAACAAAAACCAAATCGCTGCAAATCTTAATTCTAAATGCCTGATCCTTTCAACACTTATATTAAAGAATTCAGCAGCTCCTCTGCTGAGTAATGCAGCATGGTTGCATACCATTTGCAAAACTATAAACCTAGTATACTGTAAACGAGCACAACGATGAGAGACAATTCTAAACCAAATATTTTGTCTGAGATGACCCTTTTAAGGAAATATGCAAACACGAAGTCATCTGTAGACAACTGTTGTCTATGTACAGAAAAAACTAGGTTCACTTTTATGGGGCCAACTGCAGGATCCTTCCCAATCTACCTTTTTAAAAGAAAATATTAGACGTGTCGTGCAGAACGCAATATGGCTTTCACGGTGCACTTCCCGAGTCCTTTGCGGTTGATTCGATGTCCTGAACAGGTGAAGAAAGCGGAAGGACAGTGCGGAAGTTTGTGCGACTGGTGCTATTTCTTGGCTTAGTCAAGAAGGGGAAAAAAAGAGTGCTCTGTAAAATAAACGTGCAATGTTCTCGGTTTTTCCCGATGTGTACAACACTGCTTGTTGTTCATGTGGCCATAAAGCGGCAGGTCGATCGTAGTGAGAAGACAACCAGGCTGCGTCGTAACTGTAAGAACATAGAACAATGCCAGAGATCGCATAGCTAGCCCGAAAACAACCATATAGCTACCCAGCTTGAGCTAGCTTTTGTTGGGATCAAGTCTGTCTGGTGCTCACCGCTTTTGCTTGTTCTTAATTTCTTTGGTTGTAGGTGCTCGGCACTGATGGTACCTCTCAACAAACCATGAATATGTCGGCTGAAATGACCTTTCGGCACATTGAACATTTTTCATACGTACTTGATCGAGTAAGATGAAGTCAAATAAGATATGTACACATGCGTGCTTGACAGCGATTGATCAGCATTCCGTGTGCTTCTCAAAACTTCTAGGAGCTAGAAAAATGAACACACATTTATAAATAATCATTTGTGTATACTTGAAACAAGTGAAGTGCAACAGCAGGTTTCACATGAAGAAACGCATTATGACTTTATCGCCAGGTGGGGGTCGAGGCCTGTTGGAGAGCCGCTGCACCTCGGCCGTCACGACGGCGCACAGCACGAGCAGGGCGGCTGCGTAGCTCGCAAGCGGTACGACATCGTCGGGCAAGAAGGTCCACGTGAGCGCACACGCCATGAGCACGTCCAGGGAGTACTTGTACATGTTGGCCAGTCCCTCGTCACTCTCCCGGGCCTTGGACACGAAGAAGACGTACGCGAACGCCGTCTGGCTGGCCACGCTCATCTCGCCCATATTCACCTGGGCGCACAGTGAACACCAGTAACGCTTTTGGTGGTCTTCCACCACCATATACCAGATTGTTGGAGGCCAAGGTGCATGCAATTGCAAAGGACACGTTGGCGTAAACCACCTGACAAGGGACGTGTTCTACGAAAGCAGAGTGAGACTAACATGAAATGCAGAAAGACTTCTGTCTGGAGGAGACATGAAATTATCGAGGGTTCTGTGAACAGTACCAATAGTGGAGCCTATCACAAATGACAGGTTATATCTATGGTGAACATAGTAAGAACGAAACGTCGAGGCTTAACGTACGTGCAGTTAGTATCTTTCAACATGGCGGTGTTTTACTCCGTGTTGCGGGACTGAAATTATTATAGAGACGACCGGTTTTTCAATTTTGTGAAAAGTTGAATAATTATAAGCACGTTAATAACGGAAAATGACATTTCTTTTGTTAGACAGATCTACGACGTGTTAGCTTTGGACATAGATAAGAGACATTCATGTTAAAACTTGACAACTTGAGATTCACATCCAACATTAAGAGATACGCACTTTTCGTCAAGTGTGCATTCTAACGCCATCGCGTTCAAAAGTAAACGCAGCTTAGTCATGGCCCTGACTTCATTTCACGAGGCTGCAATCCACGCCCATATAGGAAACTATGGGCATTCGGCATTCGGTAGCGTTCTTACTTATCGATAAGGCCGGTGCTAGCGGCGGTGGTGTTTGCATTCGTTAAATCAGAATTAGTGCGAAATATATTAGGGGCCAAGCTCCTCATGGTCTACAGTCCATCCCTCCGACGTAGCAGACAGATGAACGGGCCGATGAACAGATGACAGACAGATGAACGGACAGATGAACGGGCCGGCGCATGCATGGACGAACTGATGGACGGATGGACAGCCTCACAGATGGACACCTTCACCCCATTTATCATTCCGTGAATATGGTGTAGATTTTTTAAAATGCGAAGCATTTCTTAGCGAACTTTGGCGACTTTGAGCGTATTTATCTATCTAGCCGCCTACGACTTTTAGCTCTCCTGGCCATTTCAATAATGGTATCGATACCAAACTTGGTATGACATAACATGACTGTATGAAGAACGTATTGAAATAGTCATAACACGCAAATCAGGCATGTCATGTAACAACATGACTACATGCCATGCTCATGATGTGCTCACCGCCGTTTCGCTAGCGTCACATATACCGAATTTGGTATTACAGTACATGAATGGATGACGAAAGTATGTGGCTGGTGCAAACATGATAATCATGAGATGCGTGTCATGTAACAACATGACTACATGCCATGCACATGATGCGCTGGCAACTGTTTTGCTAGCTTCGCTTGTACCAAATTTGGTATTACGGGACGTGAATGAATGACGAAGGTATGATACTAGTGCAAACATGATAAACATGAGATGCGTCTCATGTAACAACATGAGTACATGATACGCTCATCATGCGCTCGTGGCTGTTTCGCTAGCTTCCCATGTACCAAACTCGGTATTACGCGACGCGAACGGACGACATAAGTAAATGACACATTCAAACATGATAATATGACATGCGTGTTATGTGATAACATGACTACATGCCACACTGATGATGCACTCGCGACCGTTTTGCTAGCTTCACATATGCCAAATCTAGTATTACGTGACGTCAATGGATGACAAAGGTATGTGACTGGTGGAAACATCATAATCAGGAAATGTGTGTCATGTGAGAACAAGACTACATGCCACACTCAAGGCACCAATACATTTCGACGTGACGTGGTGCGCGTCTCGTTGCGTTCATTTCTTCGCGTCACGCTGTCGTTGCCACGCCAGGCGCCGGTCCTGCCAAATACTCGCAGGCGCGCGACGCGCTGCGTCGCTTTGACGCATGCGTGTTTCAGCGCGTCCGGCGTCCGTCCGTCACAAAAAGAGGGAAATGCAGTGTTGTCTGGGCAGCGCATCGCGGTGAAATGCAGCATGTCGCGATTTGGGCTGGTTGCTGTCGGGCCGCGCCGACGGACGCTGGTCGCGCCTTGCGTCACACTCTAGAAGGCTCGCGATTTGCTAATGTAGCGTCACTTTGCCCAGCGTGTGCGCGTGTCAACGCTACATTGGAGTATATTGGGCCCTTCATGATGTGCTTGCGGCCGTTCCGCTAGCTCCACATTTATGAAATCTGGTATTATTTGACGTCGATGGGTGACTAACTATATGACTGGTGCAAACATGATAATCCTCACACGCGTGTCATGTAATAACATGACAACATACCACACTCATAGCGTGCTCGCGGCAGTTTCGCTAGCTGCACATACACTAAATTTGGTATCACGTGACGTGAATAGATGTTGAAGGTAAACAACACATCCAAACATGATAATCATGGCACGGCATCATGTGTGGCATCATTTACCTCCACCTCGTAACGTTGTGCTGAATTTAAAGCCACATAACATTTCTCATTCGAGCTTCGCATATCATCGATTACCACTGTACGTGGGATCTGCCAATAATTTTTTTGTTGGGCACCATCCCTAAAATTGTCATGTCGGGCTAATGTAAATTATGGTTGCATTGTTAGCTCCTCTTTTATAGCAGTGTAATAAGCAGTACACTCATGTTCCTGTGACTCAGCAAGCTATATTGACGTGTTGCTTGACTCCGGAGGAATACGCAAACAAAAGTTACGTATAGTATTCAAGTCAACACACTGTTAAGTGTAATTAGTTTTGACGATGTTGACGTGTGTACCATAACGTGAGCGCTGACGTTACGTCTGAGCGCGAGTCACTCTCTAAATTTCACTGTACTCGACGTTACTGTATAGTAAGCCCAGTACTACTACACCTATAAAAGCAGATCGACTCATCTCTTAGCACTTGGCTCTATGCCTGAAAATGCAGCATGGTCAATCGCTCACCAACTGATCCACATGAAACTGATTTATGATGCGTGGGATCCACCGAATTTTTGTCTTTTTGAAGCCTCTTTTTTCATGTTGTATAGTTCTTTATGCCTTGCTATGTGGTCATGTTAATATTGTTACGGGGAATCAAGTATGCACTGGCGAGCGAATGCGTACTGGCGAATATACTGTCGAGCAAATGCGTACAATGCTGCTGCAGTCCGAGCACGTTCACGTTCAGCACTTCGTCGTTGTCATCCTCAGGCATATACTTATCCCGTGACATTACCCGCCGGCGGCAGAAGCACCGTCCCGGTGCGATCAATTCTCGAGGCATGAGTAGTGTGGTTTAAGCCATGAGACGTGCACTATATCGGTCGGGACTGAAGCTGGTACTGACGTGGTATGGAGTGGAGCTATATCATAGGTCACGCTGGTGACCTCGCGTATGACGCGGTAGGGGCCAACGTAACGGGACATCAGTTTTTCGCAGAGACCAACACGACGTAATGGTAACCACAGCAAGACGAGCGACCCCGGAGAATACTGTACGTCGCGGTGCCAGCGATTGTAAGCACTCTTTTGGTTAAGCTGCGAGGCACATAAACAATCCCGGGCGACTTGGCGGGCGATGTCAGCTCGGGCCAGGGCATCACGAGCATAAGCAGTCGATGAGGGGGCGTCAGATTGGAGCATGGTATCCATGGGCAAAGGCGGGTCATAACCAAACAGTAGGTAAAAAGGTGAAAATCCAGCTGTATCATGACGTGAACTGTTATATGCGAAGTTAACGAAAGGTAAGTGAATGTCCCAATCTTTGTGATCCTTGGAGACGTACATTGCTAACATATTCGTCAGGGTACGGTTGAGGCGTTCCGTGAGGCCGCTGGTTTGTGGATAGTTCGCTGCAGTGAACTTGTGGTGGGTAGAGCAGGATCGCAGGAGTTCATCGACTACTTTAGATAAAAAACAGCTGCCGCGGTCGGTAATCAACTGACGAGGAGCACCATGACGCAGAATGATGTCATAAAGAAGGAAATCGGCTACATCAGTAGCGCAGCTGGTGGGGAGGGCGCGTGTAACAGCATACCGCGTTGCGTAGTCGGTAGCAATAGCAATCCACTTATTACCGGTGGCTGACACGGGAAAAGTTCTTGAAAAATCAAGGCCAACTCGGAAAAATGCCTCATCTGGTACTTCAATGGACTGCAGGGTACCAGCAGGTCCCAGAGCAGGTGTCTTGTGGCGCTAGCAGAGGTCGCATGCCGCAACGTACTGTCGCACGGAACGGTGGAGGCCAGGCCAAAAGAACTGGCGGCGAATGCGGTCATACGTGCGTGACACCCCTAGGTGTCCAGTGGAGGGGGGATCATGCAGCTGGGCCAAAACGTCTGAGCGAAGATGCACAGGAACAATGAGTAAAAGCTCAGCACCATCAGGGCGGGCGTTGTAGCGGTGCAAGATGTCGTTGTGAAGAACGAACAGTTGTAAGGAGTGGTTAGGGTGGGGAGAGTGCAGACCATTGATAATAGCACGCAAAGAGGGGTCGCGGCGTTGTTCAGCAGCCGTGTCGGTGAAGTCGGTAATTGAAAGAACGAGGGCCTCTTGCTCATCTTCCCTCGTGTCAGGGGGATCGACTGGGTAACGGGACAAGCAGTCGGCATCCTTGTGGAGTTGGCCGCATTTATAGGATACGGAAAAAGTGTACTCTTGTAAGCGCAGAGCCCAGCGACCATGGCGTCCCGTAGGGTCCTTGAGTGAGGAGAGCCAGCAAAGCGCATGGTGGTCCGTAATAACTGAGAATGGTCGGCCATACAGGTACGGTCAGAATTTCGCAATGGCCCAGACGAGAGCTAAGCACTCGCGTTCTGCGATGAAATAATTTTGTTTCGAGTGCGACAACAGTCAGCTTGCATGCGCGATGACGCGGTGCATGCCTTTTTGCCGCTGCGCCAGCACTGCACCTATGCCGTGTCCCCTGACGTCAGTACGAAGCTCCGTGGCGGCAGATGGGTCGAAGTGTGCTAGGACTGGTGGATTGGTGAGAATGTCAACGAGCGACAAGAACGCGTTTGCTTGCTGTGGGCCCCAGGT